CTGAGATGAACCATTGTGGCAAAGCCATTAACAAATTCCTCCGAAGACTGAAGGATGATAAAGAACATCTATTTTCCTGAGACTGTGGTTTAATCGGTAGCCCGGAGTGGCTCATCTCCAGCGCTCGGTACAAGTGCATGCAGCTGCCCATTCATATCAGCCATGGCTGTGAGAACAAGACAATAGCTGCCAGTTGGGCCTTTGCAAGAGACTAAATAGGTTGTACCATCTGTAACTGGAAAATCTGACATTATCTTCATAATTAAACGTTTTTTTGTTTTGTTTTGGTTTGTTTTTTTTTGCATTTTTCTTCATCCTTCCCCGTAAGTACATGTAATCTGATTTTTTTTTCCCCCTAATTTACCAAGTTTTTACAAGTTTTTCTATTAGTAGGTTTTTTCAAGCATTCATGCTTTAGGAAGCTGATTTTCAGCAAACTCCCTAACAGTGAAGCAATTTGAAAAAGGTTCTGCAACATTCCTATTTCTTCTAAAGTGGCATAACCCATAATTACTTTGCTACTATCTAATAATGTCTGCTTAGAATTATCGTGCAAATGATCATCTTCATTTTCTCCAAAAATATACAGAAGGAGAAGTTAACTGCTAGCATGGAGGTTTGGATCTATGAGTTCTTATCCTAAATATCGACAAGACTGATGCCACCAGCAGACCCCGCGCGGTTAATTTCTTCCAAGTGTTCTATTTTCCAGAGATCGTTTAGGCCTCTCATGTTATGATCTTACAGGCTTTTTCCAATCTGACTTTGTCCATCTTCCAAAGCAGCCCAGTGCTGCATTATGAAATACTATTCAGTGTGCATATGACACTGTCACAGCTAAGTAGTCTACCACTGGCTGAGAGTTTTTGACCTTATACCATCAGAATTCTCATATCCTGATATATCCCAGAATAATATACTGGCTCCTTTTGAGATATTCAGCCACATTTCTCTCTGAAAAGAAAAAAAAAAAGGCCATTAAAGACGCTCATGTCATTTTCTTTGTGTTATTAATTCTTTGACACACAACTTACTGCATCTGTATTCTCCAAGCAAGTACTACTTTGTGAGTATTGGGAAACTTCTGAAGAAAACCAGGCTGCGAAAAGATCCCAGGAAGCTGTCAGACCTGCTCTTTTAAGCTCCATGTCTCGTATTTGTCCCTCTTAGTAAGTACTAGGTTTTTTTTGAAGGATCTGTCCTATTTGCAACATAGCTTCTTGATTGAGACTCCTCTTTATTTTTCCCCAGCCATGCAGAGACTTGTCTTACAGCTAGATTTCTCAGTTGCTATCTTGCTTAATAATAAAAAAGCAAACAACCTGAAGCCTTCCTAATCTCTTCACAACTTTCTTCAGGACTTGGTACATCAGGCTGAGTAGAAATTTTGCTACAGACTTGCAGCAAAACTTGTTTGCTTGTCTCTGAAAATGTTTCATTACGCAGTAGCTTACTGGGCCTTGCAGTTCATACATTTTTCAGTCATTTGATGTTACAGGGAACAGGTTTGTCATCAGTGAGACATCTGCCCTGAGTAAGCTCTGCACTGAGATACTGCATTATTTATCAGGACAGGGTTGATCATTCTCCTATAGTGACATTGGAAGCTTTACAGCTCTATTTTCTACTCCATTTATACTTTAATCTCATATTGCACTGGGTGGAGGCACAGAAATCTTACCAACATATTGTTTTCCATGCTGTGTTACAACCAGCAGGTTGCCTTCTTCAGTTACTCACTGATCTCACTGCTTTTGCCACAGAGGACAAAGCCCTCTTGTTCCAGGTCATGTGTCTCATGTTCCACTGAGATACCAGTCCCATGCTCTGATGCTTCCATCCTGTGGGCCCACAGGATTTTCAGGAATATTGCAGTGTCAAGCTGGTACTACATGTACACAACAAGAAGATTTGGGTTAAAAAAAAAAAAATAATGTTGAAAATAACCTTGTGATTAACAAAAAGTGATATTCCACACACTGATAATGACTTACTGATCACTTGGGGGAATGATCTTTTAATACTTTAAAAATTATTTATTGAGCAAATGCACAATTTTATTGAGTGTTAATGAAATACAGGAACTTTAAGCTGGTTAAAATGATTTAAGATGTAGAGAATTGTAATACAACTAGTACACAGTAACTGCCTGAGTGCATTAACAGAAATGAGCAGAACAGGACATGTAAATCCCCTTGAAGTGTGATTACTGGTTGTATATGGGAGGATATTTTCTATGGCTTGGCATGTTTTATTCCACTCTCACTTGTTGTTTCCTTAGTTTTTAATTGTGTTTCACTTTGACAAAGTCACATCTGAAGGAAACATACCTTATCCTGATGCAATCACAGATTTAAAATAAATCACCACCAAAAAAACCAAGACATTTGAGACAGCCATATTAAAATTCAGAATTTCAAGGAAACATAAAATTTTATTTCTGGGAAAATCATGTAATTAATTATAACTGTCAATGCAGAATACTATTTCCAGAGAAGCTCTATGAGTTTTTGATGGGTTTATAAAATGCTGCTTATCCAATCTACCTCTTTTGTATTAAAAACTGAAGGTCCAGCATAACATTTTCCATTTCAAATGTAAAAGTGCTCTGGGAAAATACGTATCTGTAGGTGTGGACACAGGGGCGGCTGTTTTTCTCCTCTACTCAAAATCATTTCCACAAGGAGAAGGGCAAAAATTAATAATAATGCCAGTCTAGCTGAAATTGTGAGTTATATTCTAGATGGCCAGATCTGCTGATGGGCAGAAATGACAGAGGAGGCTGTGACCAAAGGCTGTGTGGTGCCTAAAGCCGAGTACGTCCTTCATGTGTCAGCTTCAAAATCAATGTCATCTGACCCTACTGTCAGATGGCTTAGAGACACTTGAAAAACTTTCTGCTATAGCTAATTTTCTCAAAACATGAGGTTTCTGTTGTATATTTTCTCTAATTTGTTGCGATGAAGGACACAATGTTAATAAAACAAGATGAATTATTCAAGTGGGTGTTATCTGGTAAACCAGCGAGTACTTCATGTACTCTCCTGAACTGAAAACACTGTTTTTTTAAAGGTAGTTTCTGTTTAAAATCCTTTGAGGGGAAAAAAAAAAAAGAAAAAAAAAAAAAAAAAAAAAAAAAAAAAAAA